GAAAGGCTGCCGCGAAATAAATAGCAAAATAAGCGCAAAACAAAATAAATAAATAATAATAATATAAATTTAAAAAAAAAAATAAATAATATTAAAATACTTTAAAATCAGTTAAACTAATTAAAAAAAATTTTTTTTTTAAATTTAAAAAAAAAATTAAAAAAAAAAAAATTAAAAAAAAAAATTTAAAAATTTAAAAAAAAAAATAAAAAGAAACAATTAAAATACAAGAAAAAATAAAATTAAATTTTATAAGATCTAAAATTAAAGAAATTCAAAAGCGAAAAATAAATAATTTTAAAATTAAATTCGAAAATTTTAAATAATATTAAATAAATATTAAAAACCAAAATTAATTGTAATAGAACAAAGAAGAGAGCTAAATTGAATTTATAAAAATTAAATAATATTATTTTAAAGCAAATTGAAAAAGAGTTGAAAAAAAATAAAAATATGAGAAAAATAAAAAAAAAATGAAATAAAATTAAAAATAAAAAAAGGTTAATTATATTAAAAAAAAATCATCAAATTCAATCAAATAAATATATGTACATAAAGAAAGAAATTTACAAAGTAAAATCAAACCCGAATAAAAGTTTAAATCCTGCAAATTTCTCACATAAATTTTTCACTCTTTACTCTCAATGGCTCAAACAACCAAAAAAAAGAGGGTACAAAAGTGCAAATCCATAAATTCGACAGTTTTGAAGTTTTATGACAGCTGAGCTGGCAATTTCCGACTTTTATTTGACGTCGCGGTGCCAACAACATTGATTAGCCAATTATTACTCGTATTGAGTGGGGAAAACTATCGCGTAAAAGTGAAATTGAAAAGTGAGTTTTGTGAAAAATACTAAAAATGTGAAGGGAAGAAAGAACGTAAAATATAAGAGGTGAAAATATTTCTTTTTCTTTTTTGCCAACAACAACAACAATGTAAGTAAGTAGCAATTGATTTTTGACTCTTGCTGTTGGTTCAAGTAAAAATTGGCATAAAAAAATGCCTTGACTGACAACAATAAACGAACTCAAAGAAAGTGGGTAGTGCAGATAAGTGCAGGTAAGGGCTTAAACCGTTAAATCTAACGACAGTTGGTTCCATTAGTGCCTGAAAAATAAGTGGCAATGAAATTTTAAGCTGCCCTAGACACGATCTCCATATTAGACTTATATGCACTGTTATACAGACTGAGAAAACGAAATATTGGTTAATATTTGGTACTTAAGTAATAATAAATGAGTTAGTTAAGTTGAGTAAATATCGCTAGAGTTTTACCGTATATCGGTATATTATTACCGATTTTCGGTACGAAACTCGGTACTTCTTTTTACTTCTCTAATGCCTTATTTTGAAGGTGCTATAAACGGTTATATTTATTTTTCTAAAGCTTCTGTTTTGAAATCCGGTACACACGGTTAATAGTATCAAATTTTTATACTTTATTTTTTCAAGTGAAATTAACTCTTTACTATGCGCCTTTTCTGAATAATTTTATACCTATAATTGTTATGAAGTTATGAATTGTTCAAATAAATTTTGGTTTAAGGTGTAATTTTGCGCCAAAATGCTTTAACCAAATTCGGTATTTTTATTCATACATACTAGTTAAAGATTTCAATCCTTATTTTTTTTAACTCTTTTATCTACTGCGTATTTAGTGCCGTTACATGCAGAAGAAATTTCTACCCAAATTTTATTTACCGAAATTCGGTACATTTTATATTTTATATTAACTTTAATAAAATGCTTTCTAAGCTTCAGTATTTTGCTTCAAACGGTATAATATCGCGCACAAATTTTTATACCGGATTTCGGTACGTTTTTGTTTTACAAATAAATTATACATCAAAAATTTTTTTTTATTTACAACATTCTACTGTAAAAGGTGCAAAAACGTTTGCACCGAAATTCGATACACTTTAAAATACAATAAATAGAATTTACCTTTAAAATTATGGTAGGCAAATCTTTGCAACACACGGTACAACTACGTACCCAAGTTTCTCTCGCTTTTTTTCTGCATTTCATCATAAATAATTCCAAAGCGCCTACGCCATCGAAACACGAGTGCACTTAATCAATTGGCCTTATAAGTGTATGTAACCGAAGAATTGCCGTTTTAGCTGAAATCGCTTACCTAATACCGAACTGAGGCATTTCGAAAAAAATGCTGATGTTGCAATTAAGTCTTCAGCAAATAAACAATGCAAATAATAAAATCTTAAACAAAATGTGCGCGTTACAAATACAAATAAGAGAAACGATAACACACACACCCCCACACTGACATGTGCGCCTAAAGCAAATGCCGAGAAGATAACTTTAGAGTAGCAGGTTACCAACGCGACGTATAAGTAATCTTTAAACAAAACGCGGATGTGTAACGAAATTTTGAAAAAGAAAACAAAAAAACAAAAATTTTAAAAGAATTCATGTAAATAAAAGTGGCAGATACGGTGGACTTGTGTAAGGCCAGTAGCTGATGGTGGAAGTGGAAAAGTGGGGTATAATTACATACGTGTAAGCATACATATATTCATACATATGTATTTAAGTTTTTGTATAGACAAATATTTGTTTGTTTATTTTTCTAATTGTGTTACTACTATTATTTATTTTGATATTTTTAATTTCTATTTTCCTCTCTTGCTTGATTTTATCTCTAGCTTTGTGCTGGAAGTGAATTATAGCGTCAAATGTAAATATTTACATAGTCATCTAATAAATAAAGTACAACAAATACAACAAAGAGCATTTGCAAACACAAAACAACAAAATTTGTCTTAAAAAATTATTTATGAAATCATCCCGTCGGAATAAGTGCAGTGAGCATATATCAAAACCCATGGAAACTTTTTTAAACATTTCAGGTTTTTTTTTTTAATTTATATTAGTGTATTTCCTTAACCTTTAATTTAATCAATTTAATTTTTTTTTTGATTTGCCAAAATATGTTGCTGTTGTATTTTTTAATTAATAAATTTTCAAATTTCTTTAATTGAAATACCATTTCCATTATTATTTTCGGTGCAGAAAAGCCACTCAAGCGCTGCAGATAAATGTTTGTAGCTGTTGTTGTTGTTTATATTAGCTGGTGGGGTACATTAAACTCAATCGCTGCATTTGAAGGCCAAGGCCAAGAATCAACCAATTTATTACTCATCGAGTTTGGTACAGTTCAAAGAAAGCAAAGAGGAAATTGACCTTTGCATCTGAAAAAACTCTAAAAATTTGATTGAGTAATTAATCTAAAATTATAATTAAATTCAAGGAAAACATTGCTGATCACAGCAAGTATTTTTATAGGCATGAGAAAAAGATTTTGTATGTGAAAAATAAAAAAATAAATTAAATAAAATGATTACAATAAATAAACAAATAAAGAAGAAGAAAAACAATGAAATTAAATTAAAAAACTAAAATTAGAATTAAAAAATCGGGATGAAATAAATAAAGTAGAATAACATAAAATGCAATAAATAATAATAAGGAATAAATAAATAAAAAAAAATTATATAAACATAAATTAAACTAAAATTCACCAAAATAAATCAATATGAAAGAAAATAAAATAAAATGAAAGTTTAAAATAAAGCAAAAAAATATCAAAATAAAAATCAAATAAAAAAAATAAAAATTAAACAAATAAATCTAATTAAAAATAATAATAAAAAAATAATATAATTTAAATTAAAATTCTACAATATCAAACAAAATCATTTAAACTAAAAGTAAACAAAACAAAATAAAATGAAGTAAAATAAAATAAAATAAAATAAAATAAAATAAAATAAAATAAAATAAAATAAAATAAAATAAAATAAAATAAAATAAGTTAAAAGAAAATTAAAAAATTAAATGAAATTAACAAAAATAAATTTAAATACAGCAAATTAATGAAAATCAATTAAAATACATTATATAAAATAGAATATAATGGAATTGAAAAATAGAATAAAAAAAATATATTGAAAAATATATAAAAAGTTAATTAAAATTATAAGCTAAATGAACTAAAACAAAAATATTAACTAAAACAGAGCAAAGTAGAATAAAATAAAACAAAATAGAAAGAACAAAAAACAAAATAAAATAGAATAAAAAGTATATAAAATTTAAAAAAGAAAATGAATTGAAATAAAATGTAATAAAGTAAATAAAATAAAATAAAAAAAAGAAAAAATAAATAAAATTAATCCAAAACAAAATAAAAAAATAAAATCAAATTAATTTAAATTAAATTAAACTAAAATGAATAAACTCAAATTAAATAGAATTTAATAAAAAAAAATAATATAAAATTATATGAAATAAAATGCAATTATATATTATATTACATTGTAAGTTAAAATAATATAAAATACAATAAAAAAAAATTAATTAAAAAAGGAATAGGGATTTTTAAATTTAATGTAGAGAAAATAAAATAATATGAAACGAAGATAAATAAAATAGTATAATATGAATTAAAAGGAAATACAATTTATTTGATTAAAAAGCTATCCTCCGCAAAATGCTCACCGATTTTAAATTTTAAAAACTACCATAACCTCAGCCTGTCAGTGAGTAAGTGATTACCTCTTCCCCCCACCTCGCTTATTGAAAAACTGCAATAACACGCTCAGCATGTCCGACACTTCAAAGAACAACAAGAAAAAAAAAATAGATATGTATATGTATATACGAAATAAAAAAAAATAAGAAAGACATCTTTAATAACAACATCATTATCGTACACCGAAAAGTGCCTCCGACTAAGCAGATATCTAACAAGATGCAGAAAACACACACACACACACACACACAAACACGCACATTCACTAGTTACAGAGATGCCCTATAAGGCAGACAAAAAACCACAGCCACCCTCCCACCCGCCTCGTACTACATCTTCATACATTCCCTCCTACCCAACCACCAAGTGACAGTGCAACCACTTCTCCACAGCCACCGGCTGCCAGCTGACATTGAATCCACCAGCACAGCCGATTTTCAGTCAGACAACAGCATTCGAAAGCGACGCGCGTACAACTGCAGAGCAACGATATAGAATTTTTACAAAAAACAAAACAAAAAAACTAAGTGAAAAAGGCATTATAAATAATAAGCATTTGCGACATGAGAAAACAAAAGAGGTGAGATTAAGACAAAAAAGTGATAGGAAAGATAGATGAGTGTGAAGACGAGTAGAAGTGAAGGGAAGCCGAGACTATTAAGTTTCTGCTGTCAAGCAAGAAGAAAATAGTTTACGCGTGTGTTTTCTCGGAAACTAAAAAATCACTACATATGTACACACACACATACATACGTATATATAAACAAGAATAAGTGTCTTAAGCTGACAGTGTAGTTGTAAGTAAGGTTTGTTCAGCTAAAAACGCAGATTAAATTAGCTAATTTCGTGTAAATTGCTTTGAAATAAAAGCTTGCAAAGAAAAGCTGAGCGCTGTGGAGCTACTTGAGCAAGATTTCGAGCAGCCAGAAGGTTGGCGTGCAGTCAAAATTTACTATGTAAGTGTAAAATGTTGTTGATATATGAAAAAATTGCAAAATTTTTTATAGAAAATTCAAATGTAACTAGTAACCAAGTGGTATATTTTGAACTGGTATGCAAAGAAACTGGTAGCAATATTAACCAGTTCAGCAGAAACCGTTTAAATTACAGTTTTGTTTAAAGATATGTCAAATTAACAATTTCTTGTATATTTTTGAACTAGTACGAATAGGTCTAGTAACAGCCTAGTTATAAAATAAGCTTTCAATTTCTTGAAAATATATAAATATAACTCGCATAGGTAGCTTTCAAACAATTTCCAGAAAATTTTTTTGAATAAATACAATTTTGAAAACAACTAGTACGCTATGGACCATTTTCGACGCAATTAAGTAACGAGTAAATGCTTTTATTGCTTTCGAAAATTTGAGCAGTTTTCTACAAATCCGTGAAATATTGTATAAAATCCGAAAACTTAAGATATCTTTTTATTAACAACTTTTTAACTGGTTAATTTCAGACCATTCGAGCTCAGTAATGATTTTGCTTACTTTTTATTTATTTTTTTTTTTATAATCAAAATATTATTAAAACAGTCACAATTAAATATGCTTTAATTTGACTTTTGCTGTTAGAACCACACTCAAAGATTTATAAAATTCACAAAAATATTTAAGTTAAAATAGTTTGACTGGTACATACCGGAACACTATAGGTACAGTCAAGTAATGAGTATTACAATTTTTTACAAAACTCATAATATTTGAAGCAACATCAAATTTTAATAACAATTTTCAACTGATACGAAGAGGACCAGTTTGGACCCAGTTTGGTAACGAGTTTAAAATTCAACAACTTGCCAAAAATTTTGTGTTAACCGATTGTGCATTAAAAAAATATTAGAAAATATTAAAATTTTTTATTTAAAATTTTTTTAGTCTTAAACTAAAATTCTAAACGCAAAACAAAAATTGATTGCCAAATCTTGATTGATAATAATTATAGCAATCATATTCGAAAGTGCTAAAATGTTTTGGTTAGTCGAAAAATTTGCATAAAATTCTGTCCAAATTTGCTGCTTAGAAGTTTAGTGAGGAAATTTCTTTTGTGATTTTATTACTCCATCATATTGACCAACTGCCCAAAATTGTTGTTATTGTTTTGAGATTTTTCTTTCCAATTTTTTTCTCTCTCTTTGATAGCATATCAATCAAATGCCAGCCATGGCGTATACGTCAATAGTCACCTGTGCACATACGTGTGCATGTTACTCGTTTGTTAGTATATATATTTATTTATTCCAGCTAATAAATGTTTAGCTGCGTTGAAAGACAACATTTATATGCACAAGCAATTAGAAAGGCGGAAAGAAATTCATAAAAATGTGTGAATTGACAAAGAGCATTGATTATAATTACATACCTACACACACACACATGTACATATGTCAATAGACAGAGGAAAGTAAAGAAATAATTTTGGTAAATCGTGAAGCTTTTGTAATGATGTAAGCTTTGCAGTAATGTGATTCCTTGAAGCACTTTTGCAATTGAACTCGGAAAACGAGAGCTCATTGAGCAACAAGCTTTCATGCGAACTTTTTTCTACAACATCTTTTCTTCTATGATGATGAAGCCTATATACCCCTTTGGATTTAAAATTTTTGGAATTTTTTCAAATGAAAAGAGCTTTTATGGGAGCTTTTTTCTACATCTTCTTTGCTTCAATGTTTATAAATAGCCATCACATTTAGATATTGAGAAAGCCGCATTTAAATACACATGTAAAAGCTCTGTTCTAAGATGATCTTTTATAAAAGCTCTGTTCTAAGATGATCTTTTATAAAAGCTCTGTTCTAAGATGATTTTTTATAAAAGCTCTGTTCTAAGATGAATTTTTTTATAAAAGCTCTGTTCTAAGGAGAATATTTTTATAAAAGCTCTGCTATAGTCATTCGAAATACAAAAAGTACTATTTGCATTTCCAATGTTTTCTTGCAGTATTATTTTTAAGATATAAAAGCTCATCGTCATAATTTTTTATAAGCCCCAACTTATTAATAAACTTTAGTGAAAGGTACTGTTATAAATTACCAAATCTGTGAAAGTTTCTTTAAGGTTTATTTCCAAGCTGAAAAGCTTGGCAAAAATTTTGCATACATTTGGAAGGTATATTCAATATTATGCTCTTAATGAAAGCGCATCTACTGAGAAGCTTAAATTGTAAATCGCTAAAAATATGAAAAAGCACTCAGAACTAATTTAAAAAATATATTTATTTCTTCTTAAACTTTTTTTAATATATGAAATTAATTTTAGAGCTCGTTCAGAATATGAAAGCTCGAAAATTATGCTTTACATTAGTATGTAATCTCTTATGAGACCTCCTAGAGTAAGCTGAAACAATAAAAAGCTTTCATGAAAGCTTATTCGCTAAAATAATGTATGTATAAAAGCTCATTGAAGCTTAAAAACTTACACGCGCTGGATCTCGAGTGCTTGAAAATAAGTTAAAAAAAGAAATTATAGCATTTTTATTTATAAGATTAAATTTAAATTAAGAAAAGTAAATTTTTTCAGCACGAAATTCTTGCTAACTGCAGAAGCTATTCAAAGCTTTAAAAAGTTGTCATTTAGACCAGAAGCACATTTCTTATCAAACAAGAAATTACCAAAAAAAAAAATGTTAAAAGCGCTTTGGGTATTCCAGCTTTGCCAAAGCTCACCTCAAACATTTTTCTTATTTATCTATCTTTTTTTTGTATGAGTTTCTTGGAATTTTCTCAGTGGGATTCTTCTTCTTCTTTTTGTTCACTGCCGGCCAGTTTTATGTGCTTTTGTCAGGATTCCTTCAATACAATACTATGTACCTCCCCCACTACAGACGGGCTGACAAATAAATCAATCAAACTAATTGAATTTCAGAATGCAAAAAAAATATTTTAAAACGTTTACTGACAATTCGGACCGAAAACTACTCCAAAGCAATACTCATGTGTCAAACCAAAGTCAAAAGAGACAGACAGTTTCAATAACGGTAACCAAAAAGGCCTCATGACACAAAAGGACTAAGTCTAATGTCTATTTGTTATATTGCATAATAAATAAGTTTCTAAATAATTAAAATGCTTTAGATAAATATACAATAATAAAATCAAATGTATATATATATATATATATGTATATATATATGTAAGCTCGATGACTATAAATCCATTCTGAGCTGTCTTTATGACAAAAATGTGTCAGACAGTTACACAAAGCAAAACGCCACCGCTGAGCGGGTGCGTGTATGTGTGTGTGTGCGTAAGGGAGTCGCACTGGAGGATAACCTGAGCAAAATCAAATGCTCTTACACATCAGCGGCTTCCTCCTCTTTTCCCACTTCAATAACCCTTTCACCGCCACTTGTGTCATTTATACACATCAAACAATTACAATAGCGTCTGCTTTTAGTATGAAATGGAAATGAAATTCTTCGCATGTGCCATACACTTTCATCGTATACATATATGCGTCTATGCATACATATTTATATTTATAAGAGTTTCGTTTGAGTAGTTTTCTGGCCTGCATTTGATTTGGTTGCTTTTAATTAAAATTTTATTCATTTTATCTCCCTCCCTTCGCTCTTAATTTCTTCGCTTTTTTTTTTTGGTGGCTTTGACTCAACGCGTTTGTACTCTACGCACTGTGCTATTTTATACCGTTATACTTACCTATTGCTTTCATCTGTCCATTGCCCATACATTTTTTCAGCTAGAAGTACAAATCTAAGCAGTTTTCAATTACTTTTTGTGCGATTTTCATAAAGGAGTATATGAAGAATAGTGCTGAGTTCAGTTGAGTTGAGCTGAACTCATTTCGGGGATAATCAACTGGATTGCCTGTGGCTGATGTAGTTATTTAAGCCATTCTGTTTGTATTTTTGATTTAATTTTTATATATTGTACAGATTTATTAATGTATAATTTAATACTATTTGTCTTTAATTTGTTCAATTTAATTCAAATTTTTTATTTTATTTTATTTTATTTTATTTTATTTTATTTTATTTTATTTTATTTTATATTGTTTAAATTTATTTTATCTATTATATTTCATTTAATATTATTTTATTTAATTTAATTTACCTTATTTTATTCTATTTTATTTTATTTTATTTTATTTTATTTTATTTTATTTTATTTTATTTTATTTTATTTTATTGTGTTGTACCTTTATTAAGTTTTATAGATTTTATTTTAATTTATTTTGTTTTACTTTTTTATCTTATTTTTATTTTTTTTTGTTTGATTTTAGTTTATTTCATTTTATTTGCTTTTATTTTATTTATTTTTTTATTATATATTATACTTATAATTAATATTAAAAAATAAATTAAGAACGGCCAATTTTTGGCTTAATGCTTTATATGGCTTCCATTGAACTTGAACCCCTGCCTACTGAGAAAAGTAATTAATTTCAAATTACGAAGAATTCGCGCTGTACGCTGAATTACAAATGGCGACGCCACAGGATCAAACTGTGCGAACATAAAAAAGCGAGAGAAAAGGAATTTCGCTGAAAATTTTGCTATTAAAAGTGCCAGTTGAACGGATGACCTCAATACACAGAGAGCGTCTCTGTTGCGCCTACTACTAGGCGGTTGAATGACATAGTTTTACTATTTTTTACTTTAAAAACGACTTTATTTCTATATCCGTTTACATTTTTCTTATATTCACATTTTTTCGCTATTCTGTAATTTTTATTTTATTTTTTTCTATTTTCTTTTTATTTAATTTAATTCTTATTCTCTTTTTTTTTTGTCCCTTCTTATTGGTTTTATGCTTTTGTGTTTCTTGCTTATTTATATTATAAATATTTTTTTTGTATTTTTTTTTTTTTGAATTTTGTTTCTATCGCAAATTCTGCTGCTGTCGTATTCAAAGCCAACATTCAGCGCTCAAAGCCTACACAGTAACCAAATTATGGAACAATTAAATGTTACTCATACGCCCTCGGTCTCAGTGCCC